ACGGCCCGGCCCGGCCCCGCGCCCCGCGCCGCTGCCTTGGGGCGGGGAAAGCATCGCGCCTCGGGAGCCGGCAGCCGACGCGGTTGGGGCCGGAGGCTCTCCCGAGCCCGGGGGGAGCCCGGGCAGCCGCGGCGGTAGGCGCTGCTGCGGTGCTCGCTGCCTCGGAGGGTCCAGCGGCCTCAGGGCAGGAGGCGTGAGGAAAACTCCTCTCTTACCGGCCCGACTGTAGTGTCAGGTTATCGTTTACTGCCCCGGAAACGGGTGCCGTTTTCTACGTGAGAAGGGCTCCTTCGCTTCCTACACAGTTACGGTACAGATGACTGACCGACAGGGGCACGGCCAGAGCTGGGGCTGAGGGGCTGGGGCTGAGGGGCTGGGGCTGAGGAGGGGCTGGGGCTGAGGAGGGGCTGGGGCTGAGGGACGGGCAGCCGTGAGGCCCGCGGGGCGGGAGGTGTCCCCGCCAGCGCCGGCCTTCCCCCTTCCCTCCGGGAACCAGAAAAGAGGTGTCTGGAAACTTGCTGCAAAACACCTCATGACGTCTAGCTCGAATAAACTGAAGGGTAACATTTATTTACCAGTTTCGAACAAAGACGCTTAGCGGCAGTTAAAAGGACGCTGTTGCACTCCTCATTTATTCACGTTTAAACAAACACAATTCTGCTAGGCAAACTGTAGTAGCCAAACATAACACGTCTGTTAACAGACAGCAAATGTGCTAAATACAGCATGAGAACAGATTCCATAGGTGAAAACTGTGACAGTGAGGAAAATTTTAAATTGTCGAGTAACTGTTAAAAAGTCAAAGCACTAATATTTTGCTGTGAAGGTTACCACTTCGCATGAAGTTCAAAATTTAATGCCTGAAAAAGAGAGGAAAAAAAAGGATGTGAGACAAATACATAAATATTTATATGCAACCAGGGTACAATTCAAACCAAGTCCTGGTAACACCAGCTGAAATACCCCAACTGAGCCCAGCAGACCTCTACTTCTAAAGAACAGTTCTGAACACTGAAGAGAACTTCCGTGATCATCCTGAATTATGTAGGACAAATTACTTCCACCAGTAATTTTCTCACTGCTGCTGTAACTTGCAGTACAGCTACAGCATCCCTTCTAAAGTCCCTTTTCATTTACTTATCAAGCACAATACTCATTGTGTGTTGAGGTTTTTTTTTCCCTCTGACACAAACACTTAGCAAAAAGAACTTAGTTTTAAAATTTGACTGCAGTCTTCATTATGATTCATGATAAGAATAGTGGAGCTGTGCTTTTGATTACAAAAAGAGATGTACTTAAGCAGGCAGAGAGCAGGACAGAGCTAAAAATCCGAAGTTGAATATTGATTACAAATTAATCTCTTTGAGATACTAGGTAAATCACCAAAACGCTTAGATTCAAAACTTACTGAAATCTTCACCTATTTGTAAAATGGGAGAAAACAATTATTTACTTTTCTTCAGAACTGCAAGTATTCACTGACTCTCAAAATGAGGTGTGAAAGGATTTATTTGTTACAGAGTATGGTTATGCATGGATTAGAATAGCTAAGCAGCACCTGCTATAAATTGAGACTGGATTTATTAATAATGCAAGCTTGACCCACTTCAATTTTATTTCGTATTTATGGAGAGATGTGAATAAGTTGGCAATCCTTTTATTCAACCTTCACTTTTAGTGGTAGAAATAAGGAAAGCAGCATGAATGGACAAAGATGTAAAAGATGAGGTATGCTTTGTTAGTGCAGTATCTTATGTCTAAATTAACTTTCTTAATATACATATATCACGGAAAACGACTAGTCTCAATTAATAATTTTACTGATATCAGTTACTTAAGTAAAACCTGCATTCTTTATTTTCTGTACTTTTTCAGAATTCTTGTCCACATTAAAAAAAGGGAGAAAAAGGGGAAAAAAAAAAAAAGAAAGAACGAACGAAAGGCGTGGTCTATATAGCTCTGCACAAGCACCATGTGTTATTTTACCAAAGCAGTAAATATGTCATATATCTCTACCTCAAGAATTTTAAACCTACTTCAGGCAAGAGTTAAGGTGCTACATTTTTAATTTCCTCTGAAAAAGAAGTTGTTTTCATACTCAGACAGAAATGAGAATCACTTGAATCCAAATCTTTCACTAGGTTACATGTAACAATGTTAGAGGAAAAGGCATCTTCTTTTACCTTGGTCAGCAGCATCTTTCAGCCTTTAAAATAATTTGGAAAAGAATTTTTCCTTTCTTCATAATCTGCAAATGCAGAAGCAATAGGATCTGAGTAGAACACAACAGGCCTTGGTCCTTCATTGTTCATAGTGAAAGTAGCTGGGAACTTTCTGAGATCAAGACCCCTGCCCGAAAAATAAGCCTGGAGCATTCTGAAAAACTGAACATATTTCATATGTGAAAACAGAGCATGCCCGACAGAGATTAATTATTTCTACTGACACAAAGTAGATGTAATATTTGTTCCTATGTGGGATGAAATCCTCTATTTTGATCATGAACTGGTACAATACAGGCAACATAATTCAGACATGTCCACTCCATCCATGGCTTGTACACCTTACGTGGTGTCCATCATCTATGCTCCCCAGTGAACCACAGAGGATTCAAATTGTATCCCTTATAAAATAGGCACAGCAAAACCCTTGCTGAGGGCAAACAGTACAGTTCTGTTACACATTTCTCTAAGAGAAATGTTCTCCAAGAGTTAACAACAGTGGGCAGCTGATTTGAACAGGCCCCTTAGATCACTTAAAAGTAGAAATTAATGCTTCTTAAGTGAGGAAAAATTGTGGGAAACCAATTATTTTTCCTTCGCAAATTCCTTATAAGATCTTGCAAATGTTCCGTTAGTGATATTTTCTTAGCTATAATTAACTTTAAGATCTTTAGCCACTGTTCACGACTGCGTCAGATGCAAACTTGTTTGTACTTTCAGAAGATCAAACAACATGCAGCAACACAATACACATTAGAGAGAAACGTAATAATAATTCCTCTTCTGTTTCATAAAACAAGTGGTTGTATAATCAAAATACATTTTTAAAAACTAAAGCTGCTGGATGGAGATCTAAGGAAGTTTTATGCACTACTGCACACCAAGAAGGTCTCTTCAGTTAAGGGGTACATCTTGACTGAAGAATGCTCAACCAGCTGTGGTTATTGACTATACAAAGTGCACAGTTACTAACATTACATTTAATGGGCCCCTTTTACCTTTAAATTTGGAAGATAAAAACTCTCATAATGGAAAACAGAAAAAAAACCCACAAAACTTATGCTATCTTTCTTGCAGCATTTCCTTACCAGGTCTCTGTTTCTAGGGTTATCTAGAGGTTTCCATTTTTCTTCTGGTTGGAAAGGAGCACCCTTTGCCAATCCTCTCACAGCCAATACTGTATATAGACCCAGGAGTACCACCTTCCACATGTTGAAGAGATGAACAGACTATCTGTAAGAAGGACAATGAACCAGGCTCCATAAGTCCTACAGAGTAACTACACTGGTAACAAATAGAGCAAGCATGACAATACAGTGGAGCACTGAAAATAATTTATCCATGGGAGGAAGATCTGCCTACTGTGCTGTTAACTTTTTTTTGTTTTCCTAGTACTAATGTACTAGGAAGAACAAATTATTCTAAAGAAGCATTTCCCATACCACAGCTATTTCTAGACACAATTCTCTTTTTGAGGGACTAGTATGACATTTAACAGAAAATATTTACATTTGTTATTACATACAGCCATTTTCATTGGCTCATTAGCTACAGCATCAGATCTTTGTGTACTCCAAGGTGAATGCAAAAATACGGCTTGAGATCCAGATACCTCAATTTTAAAAATTGCATGAGAGTGTACTACATACATTAATAAGTGCAATAATAATACAGCCTGGTACAATATACTAGAGACCCATTTCACAACCTGATCCAAGGGGGAAAAAAAAAAAAAAAAGAAACAAATCTCCCTTTCACGTTCTTTAAAATAAAGCTTACCAGTGAATTTGGCTCTGGCTTGCCCCTTCTTGGTTAGTCTCCTTGTAATCTGTGAACAAACTGATCTCTGCACTTATATTTCTAGTGGACTGTAGGTGGGTGTCAATGACGTTAGCAGGAGTTCAAAAATACAGTAATGATTCCATTTCCATCCATGACATAAAGACTCTTGAGAATTTCATCCTTAATACTCTTAAGACCTGTTGCTATTGAACAGTGCAGTGCAAATTCCTCCTCCCTAAGCCATATTACAGAAAATTGTTGGTAAGCATATAATAAGTTTAAAACAATTCCCAACAGAGATAGCAGAGCTGTATCAAAATATTTTAATTAAAAGTAATTAGCCATATCTCCAGAATGGTGACTAACAGATAATTACAGCTGGCTGAATGGTTTTCAAGCAAGATGAGATATGGATCATTTTCTTGATGCTGGAGAGAGAGAGAAAAGAAAGGTCTGTTTCAAGATCCAAAATCTTAACATTTTAATGGAAGTGTTGCTTTCCTACCCTGATTTTATCAGCAGCTAATATCCTCCTGTCAGACTAGAAACTAAGGCAAAGACTGCAAGAAGGACTATGCTAATTTACCATGGCCTTATTTCATAGCATTCTTCATCTCAAAGCTGCTGAATTTTTTTTGCTTATAATTTCATTATACTCTTCTCTCCATTATTTAGATGATACTTTAGTTAGTATCATATAAAATATATCTCTATATAGACATGTTAAAACTAAAGATTTTTGGCCATTATCTTACTCCAAATTACTGTTGTTTATTTCTCACTAGAAGCTTTACATCCTTCTTTGGTTTAAATTTTGAAAACAAAACAAAAACCTAACCCCGCCCTTCCAGGCAGGCAACATTGTGGACATCCAAACATCATTAGCAACACAGCAAACAAAATCCTAGCAGTGTTATTTTCATGACTGCAGTAACATACAAAAATACAAGTGTCCTGGTTGCAGCTGGGATAAAGTTAATTTTCTTTCTAGCAGCTGGTATAGTGTTAAGTCTTAGATTCAATATGAGAAGAATGTTGATAACACTGATGTTTTCAGTTGTTGCTAAGTAGTGTTTAGACTAAGTCAACGATTTTTCAGCTTCTCATGCCCAGCCAGCAAGAAGGCTGGAGGGGCACAAGAAGCTGGGAGGGGACACAGCCAGGGCAGCTGACCCAAAGTGGCCAAAGGGGTATTCCATACCATGGGACATCATGCCCAGTATATAAACTGGGGGGGGAGTTGGCCTGGGGGGATCACTGCTCGGGAACTAACTGGCCATCAGTCCATGAGTAGTGAGCAATTGCATTGTGCATCACTTGTTTTGTATGTTCCAATTCTTTTATTATTACTATTGTCATTATCATTATTGTTATTTTCTTCCTTTCTGTCCTATTAAACTGTGTTCATCTCAACCCACGAGCTTTACTTTTTCTTCCCTGCCCCAGTTCTCTCCCCCATCCCACTGGGTGTGGGGGGGAAGTGAGCAAGAGGCTACATGGTGCTTAGTTGCTGGCTGGGGTTAAACCACAAGAAGTCAACTTACCCAGCTTGCATATTATCCTACAGACTTAGAGTGAAAAAAAAATTCACACACACATAAAAGAAAATCCGTCAAAACTCATCCATTACTTTCATAATAGACAACTTCCAGATCATAGACTCATCAAGAACCAGAACAGCAGTAGCAACAGAAGAACTTGTAAAAAGGCAGGCCCCAATGTAAGGGAACTTTCTTTGTTGATTTTCTAGGTAGATACTTATTTCTAGTTTAATGTTTTGCATAATTTACCTTCTAAATCAACCAGAAGTAGAAATATGTTCCTCTAGAGGAAATGACAGGAAGGGGAAAAGGCTTGATTTACAGTTTGGGATTAGATTTTAGTTCCTTATTTAGAAGAAAAAAAAAAAAAAAAGAAAAAAAAAAGGCCAGAAAAGCAGGCAGTTTTCTTCCCCTCAATTCTTTTATTAATTTATTTAAAAAGAAAAAACTGGAGATTATGCAGTATATTCAGCTAGTAAAACATACCAAAGTCAGCTGTAGATTTATTTTTTATTAACAAGTTTTACTACTGTAGGAATTTAGGCAGTTTGGTTGACTGGTGAAATATGCAGATATGCAAGAGATTCAATTAGCATATATTTTCTGTAAGCTGTCTTAAAAAAAAAAACCCAACCTCACAAATTTGTATTGTTACTTACTGATCTAAGTGTTCGAGAAACTGCTTGAGGTAAAACTGTTCAGACTTAGTGCTCATTGTAGTGTGGGTTGGTTTTGGTTTTTTTTAAAGATAATTTCATTATAGCTCTTTCCTTCAGTGAAAGTCAAATATAAGCGGAACACATTCATATTAAAATACTATTATTAGAGTTACACTGATTGGACAAAATTGCATCCTTTTTTGAGAACAGTAGCTAGTTTAACAAATGCTTTCCAAGCCAGATGTCAGTGTGCTGCCTTTTTAATGTGGCCAAATTTAAGCATTAGGTTTTCTTGATAAATTATGTATATAGACACATATCTTCAGTAAATCAAATCTTTTTAAAGTGGTTATACTAATTATATAGCCCTTATGGCACAGTAAGTAATATTCATATGTTTGAATTAAATTGCACTGAAGCTGAAAATGCTCATAGCATTGCTTGTTCAGTTTCATGCCAGTTACTTCAAAAAGGTAAAAATCTTGTTCTAGAACAAAGGGCAAATTTAAAACTAATTAGTTTAGCCAAGAACAAGTTTTATACATATGATACTCTATATAAACTATATTATTCAGCAAATATTTTCCATTTTATTGCATTTCCCATTCACGATAGCAAGGCAGGTATAACAGCCTAAGGTGCGTGAGCTAAGACATTGAGACAAGCTTCATCAGTTATGATCTTTATTGTATTCTACTCAAGAGGTGAAAAAAAGTATCTGATACTTAAAGTACTGCTCTAACCACAATGCTTTTGTTCACTGTTTTTATTTTCTGCTTAGAATCCCAAGTATTACAAGTGAGAAGGAAAAGCACCAAACTGCTCCAAGTGAGTACCTGAGCAAAGACTAAAGGCAAACATTCATCACAACACTCATTAGCGTGTTTGTACAACAAAAGTACAGGTAACATTCACAACACTCTACAGAGTATGACTGGCAAGTGGCACTTTTTGTGAATTACAACCATTTGTACTAATGCAACCATATAAAAATATACAGAAGTGTTTATTTAGCAGAGCATATACTATACAGTGTACTCTTAAATCATGCACACTTAGGTAAAAAAAAGACAAATTAAAAAAAAGTGAAATATACACTGCAGACAGGGAAGCCACCAAACAAAATACAAACATCCTAGAGTAGCTCCCACTCAAGTTGCCCTCAACTTCAACAAAAAAGTACCAGTATCTAAAAGCACAGTTTTTAAAGATTCTGAGATTTCAGCTTTCAGCAAATTCAACATTAGCTGAAAATACCTATTCTCCAAGGTTTTCTCAGCATCTCACAAGACAAGGACTTCGCCAAAGCTTATCACACACTGCATGACCTGTATCTGAGAATTCAGTTATAAACATTTTAATAAGCACAATAATTTATTATAGCATTATTTAAACATTTATAGATAAGACCCTGTCAATATCTCTACAAACCTGTTAAAGGATAAATTTTACCTGACGTAAAATTAAGAGTTAGCTCCACCTACAACACTGGATTTACACTAGCTATATAAGAACTGAAAACAGAGGAAGAGGTAAAAACATGTAAGACAGGTTGCTTGTGAAGCGATAGATTTTTCAAAAAAATTACATATATGGTCTTCAAAGTTTTAAGTCCTCTTAAAACACAACAAATAACAGCCCCTCCTTCCCCCCCAATTACCCTAAACAGGTATTTTGGCCAACATTATTCTGTCTTTGTGCTTGGAAAACCAACTAAAAGGTAAGAAGGGAATCAAATTACTAGGCCTAGGTTACACAGTTTTTCTGGATTAATCATCATATATAAAGGCCTTAAAGGTAGTTCTGCCCTCTCTTTTAATACTTTTAATTCCTGTAGCTAGGAAATCAACAATGGCTAGGATTACTGAAACAACATCATCACAAAAGAAAGAAAAGAAGGTTAGGTGACCGGGACAAGACTTTTAAAAGTCCTGAACTAACATACAGAAGGAAGTAGCAGGGAAGACACAAAAATTGCGTGTTATCTGTTGCGCCACAGCATCAGCAGCATTGTGGCAGCCCGGTTCACGTTAATTCTCAACAAAACAGGGTTAATAACTTTGATTCATATTGCTTCAAACAATTATTGTGATCAGCTGACAGGCAATCATTTTGTGTGCATATCTAAATATCCACAGTCCAATGATAAGCTTTGAGATAGCATCTTTATTCAAGATTCAGTATTACATAGTACTAATAGTAAGGTGGGGGAAAAGTCAGAATTTGGGGGGTTTTGTTCAAAACATACAAAGAATCCTGTAGCGACGCATAAGGAAAGCCAGTAGTGGCTTTTCCTGAGCTCTTCATATTAAGAAACAGACATAAGAAATCCTTCTACTATATCAAAACAAGATTTTAAGATCTTGGCTATTTCTGGTTTTCTTTAATGAATTGAGAAGAACAGAATGTATAAACCTTTTTTTTCTTCCCCTCCCAAAACCTTTCAGGGTTTTATATATGAATTTTTTTTCCTAAAAAGTAAAATTTGTTATTCAAAACTTCTGGAGCTTTAACACAACCAACCAACCCCACCCCCATCTAGTTTTCTTCTCACACTGGTGTAGATATTGATTGAAACACAATATTTTGCTTAAACTACAATTAGAGGATTTTTTTATTTTGAAGAAACTAAAGAACAAAATTTTTAAAAATAATTTGACACACAGACTTGGAAGTTGAGACAGACATCTGAGACTAGTTTTCCTTCCTTATTTTTCTTTTTGCCACAATAGAAAGATTTGAGAAATTAAGGTCAGCTAAAGCTTTCTGACTTTGGTTGGTGTGATTCCAAACCACAAATATACTGTACTTGTCATAAAATCTTCATTTCTGTAAGTGCAGTAAAAGGGGGTCAAAATAATTTTTTAATAATTAATAATTTGTCCCAAATCAAGTTTCAGTATGATCCACACAAATATTTTTGGTCAACTTCAAAAATCAAATATAAGGCTACAGAAGTCCACAGGCTACAGTTAGAGTGTATTCATTTACTGGTTTAAGGCACAGTATTTTTCTTGCTCTAGAAAGCTACAAGTTTAAAGTCACAGTGAGGAATTTCACATTTCAGTTTTGGTCTGGCACTCTAATTATTTATGTCACATCTACTACTTGTAGACTTATGTAAAATATTTCAGTTGTCAGGTGCTGCAGTCTCAAATACTGTTTTCACACTCCAAGTGACATAAGTGGAAAATACTGAAGCCTGAATTGATCCCGAAATAGTGTACTTAGCATTTTATAAAACTAAACATCAACATACTGGCACATTTGATACTTTATATATATATATATATACCCTGAAATTGTTTAGGTTGGAGGGGAAAAAAGTCTTTGCTGGTATTTCAACAAACATGCGAAACTGCAATAGAAAAACAGTCTACCGGACAGCTGCTGTTTATCTTCACTAGGTCAGTCATGGTACCTACAATTACTGTGAACATTATGTTTTGTACTACAGTGGAAGGATACTGCAAACCAAGGATAACGACGTATGGAAGGAGGAACTGGAATGATGTGCCGCAAAATAACAAGTTTGTGTGGGCCATTCCTGACTTTTATAGACCTAAAATTAGCTCTGATACCACACAGATTCCTACAGAATCTAGAATGCAACCTGCCAATAACTGTAGAGAGGCCATGCTTACAAGATTTGTTTATGCCAGCATAAGCAGCAAAATCTGTCTGCATTTAAGAATGCAGAATGAGACCTTAAATCTTAAGCAAAATTAAAGTCAAAACATCACAGCTTTGACTTAGGTTTTCATGCTACAAGGCAATAAGCACATATTTGAGGCAGTTACCTGCTTAGATATCTGAAAAATTGAGGTGCTGGGCAGATTTCTGGCTCTAAAAAAAAAGTAGAAAAACTATTTTACTTTAACATAAAAAAGAATCTGTTTTCAATTGTCATTCATTGGCACACATCTCCAGAGGTATACAAGAGCAGCATGTAGCTTTGGTGACAAAAGTATGTCTCCCCTAAAGGAATGGTGATGAAAGTTTTAAAACCTTTTACAGTACAGTGCTAAGTGCTTATGAAAGCTAGCTTGATTATCTCCCAGAAAAAAGAGATGTAGAGAGCCAAAGCTGTAAATTAAGTGACTAACATTCATCACAAAATGGAAAATAAGCATTAAGAATTTAGTCTGTTTTACAGCTAACAATTTTCTAGTAGCTGAGTGACTTAAAACACCAGCACAATTATTGTACAGACAATATAACTGCTTCCAAAAACATTTTCAGTAACTCAAGAGTATTGAAGGTCTGTAAATGGCTAGTTTTTTTCTCAGTATGATTAACACAAAAGTCTAAACACACTCATGACTGTATTGAAATAAACTTGATCAAATGAAAGCTTCTCAAATGTTTACATTTATTCACAGGCACATAACTGACTTTATTCTGTCCTGACAAAGCTTAGAAGCAGATGTATAAGATTTCAGAAAAAAGACAAGTAACAAGTTCATAACCTTGTTACTGGCAAACACATGGAAAATTAGACTTTGTATCAAATACTGACATATGCAACTGCTTTTTTGGGGTTTTTTTTAAGTATCAATACATTTTATTTTTTTAAACACTGAGTTTAAAAGGTAGCCCAATTAGGTTATAGTTGAAGAGTGCACTTAGACATACAGGCAGTCTCTATGTCTTCTGCAGCATATTACTACTACACTGTTTAGGATTTTGTTGTGTTATTCATTTGTTTGTTTTAAAACTTAGCAAATCAATATTTTTGAATGAATTGCTACATTTATCAGCTTACTCAAAACCAAAATCACAGCAGAACTCTAAATATTAGAAATAAAAATTAACTTAAATTCCATTTACTGCAATATTTTTTTTTTTTAACAAAACAAACCAAACAAAAAACACCCCAACCAAAACAAAAAAAAACCAATCTCCCTTTTAACAGGATGCTGAAACATGACATACCCACAACCAACTTCTAAATCAAAACTGGAAATACCACCTTTGGACAACATTCATTCATTCGGTTTCAATGTACATTTGGTAATTCCAGTTAAGAGGTAACGGTTTTTCCTTACCAGACAAATATAGACCTCTTATGAACTGTTAGCCACAGGTGTAGCTACTATGATTGCAGCATGATAAGACTATGAGGAACACATGTTTGATCATATCAACCAGAAAAGGTTATAGACTTCAAGAGCATTTCAGGGGACGGAGATGTCACTAAAAGCTTTGCCCCTACCAAAGATTCAGCTGTACATGTATGCTGTACCTAAAATTAGTGACATTTGGTAGTCCAGGTTCTTACCCTGGTTTTTTTGTTCTGTTTCTGGTAGCTTATAAAAAAATATTAGGAAATAGCCACACAAATAGTTCTTATTTTGAATGCATCCTGAGGTACAAGCCAAAAAAAATGGTGGCTTAATCTCAACCTAAATGCTTGATTGATAAAACAATCTCCATCTAAATGTGGTGGACATCCACATGGATGAAGAACAGTGGTTTTGCAAAATTAATACCCCAACTTCTGAAAAAGGAGAGAACAACAGAATTTGGGTCTGCATGTTAATAGAAATCTTCCCTTACAGAGCAAAGACCTAATTGATTACAAGCTAATTTGTGTCTTGGTCTCCTCCCGCACAGTCTAGATAATCTAAAGTTTGAAGAATAAACTGGAATTTTAATTTACAGGTACTAAGAGACATTACAATATATTTGCAACAGCTGTTTTATAAATGCAGCCTACTCATAATAAAGAATATTTCAGTAATATTTACCCTTCCTCATCCACACAATTAAAAGTCTTTGTAGTGGGTTAGACTACATTTCTACTGAGATTATAATTGTGAACAGTGGCAGAACTAGAAATTCACGTAACAGAAGCCTCTTCTCTGAAAGTAACAACAAACAATCATTGTATTTTACCTGAAAAACAATTTTAGACTGTTATAAAATCTTGTCTTTTTCAGAATGGCAAGTAGGATCATTCATTGTATCTTAGAACAGGATGAATTGTTCTCTGGACTTGTTCTAATCCCATCCCCCTCTACTGATTATGTAGAAAATCTAGCTGGCATTAGACACCTAATCACTCAAACAGCTGAAGTTACACAGTCCACGATGCACATCTCTGATAACAGTTTTCGTCTAGCAAATGACACAGAATGCATATAAATCCAAAGTAGCAGTAAGACTTCCCCTCCTTCCCCAGTGAAGGTAAATCATCTCTGAAAAAAAGGAGCATTGGGGGAGACGTGATAAATTCTGTCATCTGGCATCTCAGACTCAGGATTATATCTGCTCCTATCTCCAACTTGAAAATCAGGTAGGAATCTATGCAAGATTTTGTAACCCATTTCATGAAGAGTGATAACTATCAATGCAATTCTCAGCTTCAAAGACATAATTAAATGAAAAAATTGGTGTTATTCTATGCTGCTGTTATTCAGAAGTTTCCAGCTGTGGCAGATTTTGGAAGCTATCAAAACTACTACACATGCAGAAACTGTTTGCTCTCCTTATTCTGATTATTATTTTATTCCACCAACAGCTCCAACAAATGGATTCATGCTTAAAGAGCCCATTAAGATGGCAAAACAAAATCAGGAGTAAAATACAGTAGCAAGCCAAAAGAACCATGAAGGCCAAGGAAAATTATCTTCCACAGAAATCAGATCCTGCACATTTCACAGACAGCCTTTTACCAGCCCCAGTGCAGTTCTGCCACCATCTTTAATTCACAGCCATTTGAAAGCAGAAAAACTACTATATTCTATGTCTGAACAGCAATTTTTAGGTTAAACCAACTGGTGGATTTAGCTACAAGTATATTTAGACACACAAATTATCTTTTTTTTATATATATGTATATACACACACTGTAGCATACATTTGGTTAGAAAGTATCAAGATATAATCTATTCAAATAACTTTTCTGATTTACAAACACTATGTATAATCCAACCTTTTTTAAAAAAGGTTAAGACTAGAGTACCAGCACATAGATTACTGATAATAGTGACAGTGGTTTGGTTAACTACAATAATCTTACTCAGTTAAAGCAGTTTTAATGACTTAGTGATAGCTTGAACTGCTGACTTGTGTATAAGCGGACAAAACAGGTGCCTACTTCACATTTGTCCTTCATTTTGGAAAGTCACTGTGTGAATTAAGACTTTCCAGCCAGCGTAAATGAATTGACCCTAACAACACGCTAGAACTGAGGCACTTCAGGCAAGATTAATGAGCTACGATAAAATTAATGGGTCAGGCTGGCTGTACTACTATATCAAGAATATACTTGATTGACTGTGGGTAGCAGATTACCTCTTATTAGTCATGTAAGACAATTGAGCTGGTCTAGTATTTCCACATGAAGATAACGGGTATGTCAGAGTGGAGACAGCTGGTAGGCTCATCTCTACACAGAATCAATACATCATTTTAACCTAATGGCTACTGAGATTTCTTCTGTTGGCAAAACACATACCCAGGGGACAGAATTCCTTACACATAGCTAATTTAGGCTTTATTATAAATGGCAGTCACTGTAGCATCTAGGCACTAAGATAATACTGTATACAGAGCTAATAATTATGGTCAGTATGTCCCATTATTACGAAGAGTTTGTCCACGTGAGGAAGTCAGCACTGTCTGGCAGGGCATGAATTTGCAGTGTTGTAACTATTCCACATTAATTTCACTTATGGACATTTATTATGAGACAGTTGATTCTCCATTTACAATAGGAAAAAAAACCTGCCTTGTCTGCTTGGAAACAGTGCAGTACAGCAACTGCACTGTGAACTCACACCATACCTCAATGTTTGCTAGCTTCTACATACGGACAAGGTCCAAGGAGTAATTTCAGAATTGACAAAATTCCAGAGAAAACTGGCAATGTTTTAAAACAACATTACAGCAAATTGTTTATGAATCTGCTGGTATCCTTCCTGAATAGAAAGCTACACAGAATATTGTTGTTTTCTCACTCTCAGAAAAAGTAAAATGTGTAAGACTTTCAATAATCTCACAAATGTTCAACTCACACTGATTGAACAAATGATTTGATAGAAATAACAGTTCTATATAAGCAGTACATTCTAGTTTGTCTAGACACAACTGGCAGCTTTTAAATGTAGCATAAAATGACTGAAAGTATACTTGGCTGTGTATTTTTGTGATAGTCACAGTGTGCTTGAAATATATTGAGTTTTAACCAGCATATTTTAGATCTGCAAGAGATGCAAGTTCAGAACATACGCACTGTATGGCATACTGAGTAAAAAAAAGTCTGTTTCAACAAAGAAGTATAGTGAAATATCAAAGTGTCTCCAAGGCAAACAGAGTATTGAGATGTTACACTAATATGATTTATGTGCTTACACACATACACATAGTTAATTCACTTAATTTTCAGAGTCAGGAAATAAACAGCATAAAAAAGCTTTCTAAGCAACATGAACAGAACCACGAACTTTTCATGAAGTATTCACAGTTCTGTCCTCTTTCGCACATAATGTAAACTACTGATGATATTAAGAGAGACATTTCTTTGTTGAAATTTGCCCCATTTCCAGTGTTAAGTTTCTAGACTGCACTGTTCTTCCTATGTATAATGAACATTACACAATACAACACAGCACATGTAGAAGAAGAGAAAGGGTTACGAAGTGTGGTACTTTGTATAAATGCATTCGTCCAAAGGCCAACATTGCAACAGACAAAGGGAGTGGAACTTTGGCTGCGATCTTCAAGAGTTTACTGTAAGAATATAAAGAAAAAATTGCCATTTTTATAGCCATACTTGCAGAAAGTACACAAATACCATATTTCACTTTCTTTTGAAAAATAATTTATAGATTTCAAGGATTTGTTCATTTTTAAAACAGAACAAATAGGCATAATGGGCACTAACAACTGATGCATAAGCAAGAGCAATTATTCAAAAAGGCTAAAAAAAAAAGTCATTGTAGAATATTCTTATATTAATATAGAAATAAGTTCTCCGTAACAAAGAAAGATTTAATGCTTTAGATCATTTGGGTTAACAGGTACCAGTCAAGAGGATAAACTACATTGGTTATTATTTATTGTCTTCCATGAGGCACTAATTTTATATCTGAACAAGAAAGGCTCTACCTGTCAGCAAAACCAAGTGCTCAAAACTTCTTAATCTGGTAGAAAGCATGTTACATTTCCACAAGTGTGCCCATGAGGGGAAATTACAAGGACATAACTATAATGGTTTAGAATTCACTTTTCCTTGTAACTTTCTGACAATAATTGCTAAATGTATTAAGATTCTGCAACATTTGGAAGGATACAATGAATTGTGAATGAAAAAGTCACTGTTAAAGAAGTCTTTATGCAACTGATTGTTTAGATAGCAAATACTTCATTTAAGTCCATGCGGTAAATACCAGTGATTTTCTCCACTTAGCTGAACTACAGGTAATTTGCATGCATTTTACCCAGTCTTTAAGATTTAGCCATATGAGTTTATGAATCTCTATGTAGGCTGAACACTTACATGTCTGTGCAGCATAAATTAAGATTTACCACAGAAAGGGAAGTAGTAACGAAGAAGCAGGAAAACAAAAACTGGGGGTTGGGCTACAGTACCTTGATTTCACTTCAGAAGTACTTGAATTCATGAGAATTTCTAAAATGCATACGAGGATAATAGCTGTAGATCTACATGGATCAGGATCAAGTCTAACACTGTACCTGGAAAAAATGGTTTAAAAAGCATGTTACTTCTAAACTAGGCTACCAAATAAAATCCAAGTTGGGAACAAGCATGTGCTGATAACAACACACATACGTGAAATGTATATGGCATCACAGCCTGGCTTTAAATCCTTTCTGAATCATTACTTCCTTCAGCATATCACTGATTCACTTAACACCTACTTATACCATAACGTAAACCAGATTGCATAGAAAAAACAATTATAATTAACAGAAGTCTTTGATACTATAAGGTAGCTAATAATGTAAAGAGTCAAACATACACAATTTTTTCTGTCTTATTCTTTTTGTCCACCTTACTGGCAATTTAAGAAGTTACCTGAGATTTTTTAACCAATAAATTAGAGATGGCAAGTTGAGCAGCACAATCCATGTGAATAAATTGAGAATTGTAACATGCATCTTAAGACTGTTAACAGCTTCAGCAACTGTTGTACTGTTGGAAAGAGACTGTGTTGCTTTTACGGTACTGTCCGTTGAACTCTGGTTTTTGACTGTGTATATACTGGAGTTCTGTGAAGTTTCTTTTGAGCAGTCTGAATCCTGAAAATAAAAGGCAAAAGTCATAAAAACATGCACGGGCTTGTAAGAACCCATGCTGAGGGAGGAGGGAAAAACTGTCACAACAGTACCATACCAGCTCTGATTTAAGAAGAAAATTTGCAATTTCTCTCTCAAAAAGCCATTAAAAGCAAAGTTCAATAGTTCAGTTTTAAAGCATCTAGATTTAACCAGAAATTTCTCTTACACTAGTATTTTATATGACTTTGGAAGAAAAAAATGGAGAGTGGAGATGGTCTGACACCAGTGCAGTGATAAGAAATGGAGTTCCTGGAAGGAGGAAGAACAGAATAAAAGGAGTAATAAAGCACGTGGGTGAAAATCACAGATGATCATTCACAGAAAAAGATACAGGAGGTAATGCAACCAAGAGTACAATATTAGCTGTAGGAATAAATAGCAAAGATAAACTATGAGCTAGCAGATGGTAACTTCCAATGACAGGAAAAAAAAGCACCCCACAAATGAAACAAAACAAAAAAATATTATATGGACATGAAAGAAAAGAAGGAGAGGATTTAAAACTAAATGAACAAAAACCACTCAAACCCAAAGAAAACTGTCAACAACTTTTTCTGACAGACTTTTTAAACTATGTTTGCAAAAAAGAACAGGTAGTTATTATATGCTTGTATCCACACATGCTTACATCTTGGATCCTACACCCTAAAGTAACTGGGAAAAAAAAAAGTTCACAACGCATGAAACCAGACGCTTCTTCACTCCTTTTTAAATGGCTCCCAATTTACTGCCATCTCAGTCCATATCCATCTCATAAATCATATGTCATGTACCGATTAAAAAAAACCCTAAACCTACAAACTACCTATCTGGAAAAAAATATTTACCTGTGGTATAGGCTATTAGCTACAAATTAAATTAATTTCTTTAGATAAGGCATGCATAATCAAATACCAAAATTTAGACAAAAACTATTGTTCTGTATGTATTCAGAGACTACGTTTTCTTCTTCAAGGAACTTCGGACAAGTTCACACTGCAGTGATCTTAAGCAGTGAATGCAAGTGTCACGTGTGATGGAACAGGCTACTCGTGTCCTGGCTTTTCTTTCACATCATGCACACAGTAAGTAAACTACAGCCACCCAGTCATCACAGCACAGCCTAATACTACCAAGGCAAGACAATAACAATTCATAATGCATAGGTTTGCCAAACAATTTTTGGTCACAATTTTCAACAGAAGCAGGAAACAGACCTACCCCATTAAGCATGTTTTGTTCTGCTCTTACATTCACATGTAGCTTTATAACCTGTAAGAGAGACAGTTCAGCTTTTTTGAGTAATGTTTCTTCACACAAAAGCTGTAGTATACAAGAAAAAAAAATTGGGCTAGTTATTTTTTTACCCTTTTTATAGCTAGATAATTCTAGGGCCCCAATGGAGCTGCAATGCAAGAAACTCCCTCTGCCTTTTTTATCAGCAGCATCCAAAACTCTCTCTTAAGGAAGGATTTCCAAGCACAGAGAGAAAACTTACGCTGCTCTGCTTTCTCCCCTGCCACTGTGCTTGACAGAGAATACAGAGTGGAAAATCTGCATATCGCTCACCTCCTCCTCCTGAAGCTCTACTTCACTTTCTGCAGAAACCCATAAACAGGCCACATAGGAAAAGTCCCATGTCAAAGATTTACTGCAGGAGGGAGAGTAATGTCAGCATGGGAATGCCCTTCATAGGGTAACCTTGTCACAGGGAGCTCAATTAGAGATAGATGTGTTCCTCAGGCTGTGCTTTCAGCTGCCACCTACCTACTTCAGACCACCTGTAAGCTGCTCTGCTTTGTGCCCCTACTCCCAGATGCATGCTCCAATGCTTCCCTAGTAGCTAAGTATAGTAGCTGATTTAGCAGCTATATAACCATAGGGTGAATCAGGTAAGTTAGACGCTCTGATGCAAGGAAGACCATGGAAACTGAATGGCAGGAACTAAATATGGATCTTTGTGGCACCAGCCAAGGGATCAGATTAGACATACAGTAAGACTATCCTAATTCTACAATATACCCACCCTCCTTCCTTTTACTCAATAAAGATTTGTGAAAAGTCTTTAAAGATAAAAAGTATTCGACAGAACATTCCAAGTCCTCTCTTTGCTAAGGTTTCTCTTCAAGGGAGTTATTATTCTTTGATTTTATAACATTACCTATCCATAAGTTACAGATCACAATTATATACATTATTGTAGTGGGCATATGGAACTGTACCTTTCTTTGGAAAAAGCATTAGCAAAAGAACAAAATAATTCTAAAGATTACAAGATTGTGAGAGTCTGATTAAGTTCAAAAAAAGACCTATTTCAAGTATGCAAATAATAACATTTAAGTATGAAAAAATAATAATCTGTATTTTTGCTTTTAACTTGGGGTTAATTCAAAGCATACAAAATTTTGAATTCAGTTATAAATTCAAGACGTTTAGCCTTTCAGTACCTTAAACAAGTACTGAAGGTAAATAATGAATACAGCAAATGCACCGCAAGTGGTCCAGCTAACCAAAGCAAGGGATAACACCCCACAGAGTCTTCTGGGTGTAATCAACTTGTTATCTTTCTGAAGTACAGTAGGTCTAAAAAAAGACAAAACTGCTGTTATACTCTTGTAACATCAAACTACAAAATCAAAGAATAATTTTGTTTTGTGAATGACTGAAAAGAATAAATTGCTCCTGAATATTGATTAAAAAAAGTTAGACAAATTTAAGCATATATACCAACTGCTACATACACTACTTTGAAAAAAAAAACCAAACCAAACCAAAACACAAAACACAAAAAAACCCCCAAGCCAAAACGTTCTTATCAAATGAACTAACAAAACAACCTTACACCTTCCAGAATGTAACTAATGTATTATTTTTAATTTGGGGAACGTAAAAGGATACATTGGTGAACATAAAGCATTAGATAATGCTAACTGTAGATCTGCATCAGTCACTAAGTTCTTCTGTTCAGCCCAGGAGAATGAGTATCTTATTATTATTACTGCACAACTGCATCACTTAAGTGACTCCTACTACAAACATTAATGAACTGCAGTGTTCTATGATAGTACAGCAGCATACAACAGTAAGTCTCCAAGAGATTAATTCTGTGACAAACATTCTTCCCAGACAGGAATTTCTGCTTGCTCAGTCTGAGAGAAACAGAAAAGCTTATTTTAAGTTTCTGGATTCCAGCTGATATGACTAAAAGACAAGTACGAACGTGAAACAACAAAGATGAACTGAAAAGGTGTAACAATGAGGGGAACGGTGCAGGGAGGAAGTGCAACAGAACTATGAAAAAGTCTGTACTTCGTGGATATTTATGGGACATTCCAGTATTAAAATAGAGATTGAAAACAGAAAAAGCGTTATTTGGAAAACACAATTTTAAAAGCCTTTGCAACAAATATTGAAAATAACCACAAAAAGAAAGCTAGTTGGCAAGAACAAAGAATTCCACAGACAGCTAGTGACAAATTTTTTACTGCTGGCCATATCAGATCATTTCAGAACACTAAGCAACAGTCAAGTGAATACAATCTACTTCAGAGAGATTTCTAGAATTCCCCCCCCCCCCGCCCCAAGAAATTCAGGACTAGATCAAAACATGTGTAAGGTACTAGAATTTCAAAAGGAACCAGCTGACTTACAGGCAGACACACAAAATCTTATTTTCCTGCCTCTGCCCAAGACATTCTCAGGGTTTGCAAGAAATAGCGAGCTTTAATGAAGAGTAGGAATCAAGATAAACTCTTAAAAATTTAGTAATAGTTTCAAAACTTAGAAGTTTATCACTTCATCACTTAAAACTAATACTGAAACTTCTGAGCATCCACTGTAATTTATAAACAAGACGGCTGAGAAGAAATAGCTGACACAACATCTATTATTTTGTAGAATAAGACCAGAAGTGCTAGTGATGAAAAAAGAGAGAGTTCATTTAGTGGACATTTTCTGAGTAAAAAGCATCCCAACCAACTTTCTGGAGACAGAGAATTGGCTCAAATCTAGCTGAGGACTGTTATCAATGTGAGAACAGTCAAACCATTAAAATAGCTAAGCATGTTATCCAATTTACTAATTTACTCTTTAAAAATCTTTTTATTTTCCTTGCTTCTTTTAAACCCCCTTTCATATTTGAATACTCATCTCTACAAGCAAAAACATTCCAGTTTTCTTAGATCTATAAAATCAATTAGTCTTGTAGGGTGAAATTAACACCCAAGAAGTTTTTGTTTTACAAACCTGTTTGGATTCTTTAATGCAGTTTATCCAATATGAACAATAAGGAATGGATTGCAATGTTTATAGTCCCTTTTCTAAATGTATGTATTTATTTTCTGGGCTGCTGAAAATGGAATAGTTCAGTTGCTTTCTTTTCCCCAACAAGCTTTCCTCAAAAACAAACTGAAAACCTTCGTAACAGCTGGTGAAGGAAACAAGAAAGCCATTTACATTCCCTTTTGGAGATGTGGAATAAGGAATATGAGGCAATCCTCATACTTCTTTAGTACTTAATTTTGACAAACCCAGATGGCTAAAACCATGTATGAACTATACTGCAGAATTTAACCTGCCCAAGCATTCACACTGAAGAACACAGAAAAAAATTGACAGGGTCACAGTCATCTAAAAGAGCATAATCATATAGCATAATTGTTTTACCTAATCAGAGTTAACCATAACAAAGAGAAGAGTCTCAGAGATGTAGAGAAAAATACTCCACTCCAGTAGGCAATGCCTGTCCCAAAAAGAAATAGAATCAGGGACACAAGGGGGAACCACGCATCCTGACTACTCAGTACAGCAGCATCCACCTCTGGTAGTGACAGTGATTCCCATATCTCTCTAAACCAGTTAAACCTGCCAAATACATGAAAGCAGTATTACTTATCATTTCCAATCACCATTACATTAAGATATATATCAACTATACCTCCTACTACAGCTTTTCAAACAAAATCACAGTCAGGTGTTCACAATGACTACAGATAAAATAATATTCTTCCCAACCAATAGTTTTACTGAAACTTCTGTATTGGAAACTGCTTTAAATAAATAAATAAGTTATGCAGACTCACCCCTGCAGAAACACAACAATGCTTATAAGAGGTTCTACTTTGTAGGGTTTAGCTGTCCTAACTAGTTCAAGGGGAAAGTCTGAACATTGGCCTAGAACCAAGAACAGAAAGCATCTATAGTTATTATTTTGTCACGAACTTTAACAAGAAGATCCACAACAAAAAGTAAATTCAGACAAAGGTTTGAAAGTTTACTTTACAAGATAACCATGTCTTGTAACACTACTGTAAGTCAGCATACTTCATCATCAATGCCCTTATTCACTGGATCACTCATATTCAGGTAATATGTCACAAGAGCTTCTAGAGAGATTACAGAGTTTGTTACAAACACCACCTGAATTTAAATAAAAATGTATTTTGTCTGAAGACATGTCTAAAAGTTAGTCTGGAAATCTCATCTTCATGCAAGAAATAAAGTGTTTCGTGCATATTAACAATATATTTTAAACTTTTACATTTCTTTTTAAGCAGACTTCTATTAATTCTAAAATACTGTGCAACACCAATCTTTCACAAAGAAGGGACTGCAGAGTAAAATAATAAGGAAATACTCTGGTACAACACAAGCTTGGAGAACTACCAACAAACAAAAACTGAAAACGAAGAGCATAGATCCAAGTATTTGCACAAGTTCAATGATACTTAGCTTAAAAAAATTTCACAACTAGCTAGTCTTTCAACAGTAAATTGGATAAGTAATTACTGTAAAAACACTTGTGACAGAAAAAAATATTTTTCTAGAAGGCTACCTGTTGACATTAGTGTGCTCAATTGTCCTCCATAAGCAAGAAAAATATTAGAAACAACATAGACAGGAAGAGAGCCAGCATGGAACCTTATTATCTGAAAAACAAGGATATAATATATTTTTAAATATATAAATTAAAACTTATCCTTAAGAAAAATACACACACAAAAATATTATCATGAAGCCAGCATGATTATGTGATTAGAAAATCTTTCTTAAAATTTCAAACAGTTTCTCATTTTGATGCATAAGTATTTGATAACCACCATTAGCAATTCATGTTATATATGGAAAATACTCAGATCTCTCATAAACAGCTAATCAAACATGTTTTGATAAATGACCAAATTATAAACAAATGTGGGCGTTTTTTTCCAGTCAAGGCAAGTATTAAAAGAATAAAGTAGCATGTTAATGGTATTTCAGTAAAAAAAAATTTTAAAAATTAAAAGCAAAAGGCCACTTTCCAAGCAAAACCTGCATATAGTTATATATGCTTTTGGGCAAAGAATTTTTGGAAGCAATTTCATGTATGTTTTAATTGGCTTTCACTATCCCAAGTCATGATTAATATATAAAATAGCATATAAATTTTCTAAAATGATAACAAACTGAAAAATCCTTGATATAAATGCATACACTAAAATAGAGAAACTTGCCAGTAATATTCCAGCATTATACCTAGATGCTTGCAAATTAATTGCTTTTTAGAATCAGGAAACTGCAAATGGCTAGTCTATTTTTACTGATACCAATGTCGAAATGTATTCTTCATTGATAACCAAAGAAAATTTATTGAAGAGCATATGGATCTACTTAGACTTTTTTCCTAACTTTTAGTTGATGCCAAATGTATTTTAAAGTTTTAACACTACTGACTCATCAGGCAAGAAAGTCAAAGTGACCTACAGTGTCATCCTTTTACAGATATTTGGCTAACCACAAAGCCAAATGCTCAACATTTACATTAGCTCTTTAGAGCTAGAGTGCTTTTCTACTCATCTGAAAACTGAGGCCTGACGTTTATCCAGATGAGATGCCTTGCCAAGTGACAAGATTTTAAATGATCATTGAATAGTGTTCCTCTTGGCATCAAGAAGGGAAGGGAGGAAGGGAAAACTTCTATAGATGCTACTGAAGTAAAAAACAATCTATTACTAGAAGGTTTTCTTACTTGCCCAAGAACCTGTAAAACTGACGTCTTCAGAATTACCTTCATAAAAAAAAAAAGGAATATTTTATTATTTTCTACAATGGCAAGCATAAGGACAAAATACTTTTATTTTTAAGAAGCCAACTTAGGTATTAGAATACAGCAATCCCATAACTAAAATCTACAACAGCTTACTACTGACTTTTCAAGAACAAATGCATTGAAGTTTTTGTTAGAAATGAGAGCCCAACTTTCAATATTACTCCAGCTGTTGCAAAATACTTGTAACATGTACTACATTTACAAAAAGGCCAAACAGCCCACCTTTAGATTTGCTTAGTATTTATTTTGATTAATTAGCTACATGTTTTAAAAGACTGAATTTTGCAAAAATTATACAGCAACGCAAAGTAGCTATAAAATAAATTTGTATTACTCACTTCATACTGACAGTCTGAGGAAGAGTAAATATTTAACTCTGGAACCCTGCTGTCATTTTGAGGCTGAGCAATATGCAGTTTTGCAGAAATCTCCGTAAAAGACGGAACTCTGAAACAGCAACTTAATTGGTAATTGTTGTCCTTATAACCAAAAAAAGCCAAACATGCCTTCATCTTCAACAAGTGCACGTAAAGCATATCTAATACACCGTCATCACAAGCTATAAACGAAATGTTATAATGAACTTATTTATGCTATCACAAAGAACCACGTAACATTCTCAGTCCACTGTCCTCTGAACTATCAAGGGGCATGGTGCTAATGAAAAACAGTCAAGTTTAGCATTAATGTACACAGCACCTCACAGAACATGTAAATATGCTGAGTGACAAGAATGGGAAGGACAGATTCTTAAGAATACAATTCAGTTTCCTGCAAATATCACATTGTTAGAAAACACAGTGCAGGGAAAATAGGGAGGTATCCGTAAGGCCTCTAAAATAGACAAGGAAGACAGTTTTCCAACCATCCAAAATAAAGCCTGGTTATTTAACTGCAATTCATGAGCGACACATATTTCAAGCCATATCATTTGATTTTGTTAGGACTGTGCTGCTGTAGCAACTTAGGGCTGCTGTGTGATCCAAACCCTGGCTTACAGGACGAAGCCAGCATCCAGAGCAGCCTCTATTTCCCACTCATGAGGAGGTCAAGGATTATGCTGAGATTTCAGACCAGCAAATCTGACCCCCTTTTTGAGAAAATTAATAAGAACTATTAAACAATTAGTAGATACTCTTATTCTGAGGAAAAGTCAAAACAACTTTGTCAACAAGGGCAGAAAGGTAAATGAGGAAAAGATGTAGAAAGCAAACACTTAAGACTGGAGAAGTTGTCTCATATCAGAAATATTACCACAACAGGATACAAACATTCTTCATATCAAGAAGTTGTAATTGTTAAAAGTCCTTACTTTGCTACAATTATTGAGTCTTCATGTGACCAGGGTACATGAAGTCTGTAAACACTAGGTTTTCTTTCTGAAATGGAAGAGAATTAAAAAATATAAAATTAGTTAAGAACAAGATGTGGCAACTGTCTCCAAAAACTAAAAGGTAAGTAAAACAAAGGTGGCATATAGATCATTATACAGAATCACTGGGCTTGCAGTTACATTGCAGTTGACATTGCAATGCAGATCAGGGCAGTTAGCATTGAACAAAAATGACATTTTTTAACTCACACTGTTACAGAACAAGACAGTGAGACATCAGTATTTAAAGGCAGGACAGCTATGGGAAAACTTCTGGTTTTCAATACAGAGCTGTAACCTCAAGCTCATAAACCCATCACTTTTGTTTACCAAAAAAAAAAAGTCCTTCAGCATCCCATTTTCTTTAAGCTTATGTAGCTCAATATTCACATTTGAGTCCCATAATTAGCAAATAAAAATCCTAGCCAAATGTGCTATTCTTGAGAAACACTTTCAACTTTCAGCAGGATTCTGCTGAAAGTTCAACTTCCCTTTGCTGGGATGTAAGAAAAACAAACATATGAGGACTAATTCCACATTTTCTTTGAGCTATCCTTCTTAACAAAAAGTGTAAAGTGAGAGATACTAGTAGAGACATTTGAGCAGATTATAACAGTACTGCTTAAACCCCATTGTACGAGAGTACTTTTGTTTCCACCAGCTTCAGTCTTGAGAATTTTCAACAAGCTTTGTTTTATAAATTTATTCTTTAGAAGACTTATATTTACCTTTGAGTGACTGGCAGTGGCTCTCTATATAAATTTTGAAAGCTTGATATATCTAGAACATTAAAAAGAGAAAGAAAAAAAAATCACTTACATTCTCCAAACAGTGGTTACATTAGCTTAAAATATTAAGTAGTATTCTTACTCGGTTAAAGTGCTGGAGCTGTACATTGTAAAGTAAGCCAGTTGAATTTAATAGAATTTTGCTTGAAGAAAGCCCTGTAAATGATGTATTATTTTATGTATTAGATAAAATTATTTAAGAACTCACTACATCTTCAGATATTTTTTTTCCAGGATACTTATGTGCTTCTATATCTGTTAGTCAAAACCCCCACATTTCTTATTTCTTTCTTTGTTACTAACAAAAGCAGTATTAACTTTAGTAAAAACAAACCCCAGAAAACCTCCTGACCATTGGAATTTTTAGGCAAATTTATTATCCAAATCTTAGTAATATTAGTTTTCCATTTTTTCCAAAAGTAATATACTATACTTACCAAATGAAAAAAGATGTGTTACAGGAAGCTGTACTGTTCTGGAATCCTGTTTGAAGAATTCACAGCCCAAAGTATACTGCAATTCAGGAAATTAAACACAGATCTAAACCAAGCACAAGACTATAAAGCCTTTGCACTTGTCAAATTCTATTCACAGACTTGGGCAGACTCCAGGACACAAATACTGAAAAGCCACCTCTCCACACTCCACTGATAGGAACTGGCAGGTAGTTTGTTCCTATACCCAGCAGTACAAGTTTGGAAAGCTTAAGCATGACTTCCAGGTTACTCTAGCTCTCACCCATTTGCAACAGCCTCCAAAAGGCTATTCAAACAGCTGAGAATGACTACAAACCACTTCGCATCCCTCCTTCTCAGGTACATCTTTTTGGGGGGGGCGGGGAGGGTGTCACAAAGGAGAGTGACTTGTCCAAACTCTGAATACAATTTCCTAAGCAAAGCAAGAACCTTTAGTTTGTCTCCTGAAGTTTAATCATGCAAAAGCAAAGCAACGTATCCAGCAGGTATGAGTTGTACCATCTCTAATAAGTATTTAGTTCACTTGAAAATTATTTTCCATCTCATTGTAAATCCAGCATTTGTTTACTTTTTAAAAGCAGTTTCCAAGATTTAACACTAGACTGCAACTTAGCAAGTTACATTTCACAAGTGATCTCTCTTCTATCTTTGCTTATCTAGAATGTTGTCTATTACTAATTTAACTGCAAGATGTCTCTGTCACAACTATCTGAAGATATACACATAGATGAACATTACAATCACTTCAGCTGTGAATAATTTCTTGGATCATGGATTATTATACCACAGACACATTCAAGCTCAGCATTCTGCCATTTTCAGGACTAACTAGAAAGGCCTGCCAGACCCAGCAGGGTAATACACAAAGTCTGCTTAGATTCACTGCAAACGTTCCTCTTACTGGGATCCTGAGAGGCCTTGATGCAAAGACATCCAACTCATCTGAGATTCAGAACTATCAAACTCTGCAAAACTCAGTCTACCACATCATGTGCAGTCTCAGAGCTTGCAGAGATATCTGTACCATGCTCCCCAGAATCCATATGTGGTGTCTTCAATTATCTACGGCATTCTCCACTACCCTGGATAAGAGAACTGGCTGTTCAAAAAGATAAATATTCAGGAATGCAATCAGAATATTAAGAAAAACAAGGAAGAACAACACTAGAATCTCCAACAAGAGCTCTAAGAACTGGTTTGAGAACTGTTGCTTTGTATGTTTCAAGTACTATTCAAGCCTTGTGTTTGGTATTTTATCAAATGAAAATGTTTCTGAGTTTACAGAATATAACAAAGTTACCTTCAAACCACACTGGAGCGTAGGTCTATGGTTTCTCAAAGTAACTTAGCACCTATTTAATACAGTTCCTTTTCCTTATGTCGTAGCATCTGAAAGCTGTGAACACACTAAGCAAGCAATTTCCGCTTTTTTTTTTTTTACCTTATTGCCAACTGTGGGTGGTACCTGAATGACAATGTGGGACAAAGAAGTATAGTCCTGAAGTTTCAGTATTACAACCTTAAAAAAAAAAAAGAAAGAAAAAAAAGGGGAAAAAAAAGAAAAAGAAAGAAAGAAAAATAAAAGCTATTACTGAACACACGACTTCGTTTGCCCCTTGCCAGTTCCCAGATGTCCACCTCTTGTACCCCTTTCTTGGGAATACAACTGCACATTCCAATGCTGTAAACAGAACAGATCCTTCTCCCATGACATGCAACTACCCCACAAAGCACCTCTCCCTCCAAGTTATGTACAGTACTTACCTTGGTGGTTGGAAGTAACTCAGCTCTCCAGGATAAATCAGTAGCTTCCAGGCTGTAAAAATTCATGCACATTAAAGGATGAGCATATTAATTATGCAGACACTACATTATGACAGTGGATTAATATACCACCTTTTCTCTCTCTCTAAATGGATTCACATGATTTTAAACTGAGAACAAATTTGGGTCTACTGCAGTTAGCTACCATAGTAATTTATCAAACTATAATAATTTCAGGTATTGCAAATCTTGTTTTTGCAAAAACAAGTTAAGCAAAGCACTAACTCTGTCATACACAAAACATTCAGCAGTTGTTAGCCATACAACTTCAGACACAATGAAAACTCTTATTGAGCTAAAACAGCACTGGCATTGAATTAACACAGTTTTATTAGCATTTTTTAAATGTCAAAAGTACCAATTTTTCCTATAGGAATATCTAAAACATACCATATAAAACAAAAAATTGTTAGCTGCTGCAAAGTTTGCAGCAGTTATAAAATGGTGTGTACCTATATTAAGTTAACACACTGAACTGCAACACATTCATTCAGTCATTTTAAGTTATGATTTTTAGAATACCAGGATACTTCTGTTTCTTTAAATAGTGTTACATGACCTCAGGACACAGTCCACAGCAAAACCACTATTACTGGACGACATTTTAGGTAGCTGTCCTGAACTAGGCTAACCTGCACTTGATGCTGATCAAAGGTTATACGAAGGAGTAACAGCCAACTTCTCCTTGGATTAGGAAAAATAATAATGACATCTGGCTATCAGCTAGAGGCAAGACTCTGTGGCTATACACCTCAGCACAGATCCCAGAAGAGATAAATACTATGCTAGCCCAATCCCACCTGGAAGCTTCCCCTAATCTGAAGGGTAGATTGAATTTACTTTGAGTTTACTTTGCAAATGTGAGCTAAGCCAGTGTTTTAAATCCATTTTGTAACGATTGTAATGACCCGATTCAAATATTCACTAAATCACCCACATTTCTAAATATTTTTCATATGACAATAGTGATTTTGGAAAAAAAAAAAAAAAAAAAAAAAAAAAGAGATGCTTCATTCCACTCTTCTGAAGGCTCTGAGTGACACTTGATGTCTTCTGTCATAGGATGCTAAAGAGATGCTACAAAACACACAATTTAGGAATCCAGCACAGCATGTAGTGTCCACAAGAGAGCAACAAGAGCAACTTTCCACTGCTAGGAAGGTCAAAAATATGGCTTAAAGAAGTTCACCTATTTTAATCTGTATTCATGCAGTAATTTTGAGAAAACCTATTCTTTCCTGTTTTCTTGGTTATACAGGAAGCATGAATTATTCACAGTAAGAATTTTACTTTTCTTCCCAATCTCTTCCTTCCTAAAGAGGAGGATATTTTATATGCTTTAATTTCAAATATAGTCTCAAAAGATCCATCTGAATAAAGAACAGGAACTGTTTATACTCACCACGTTGATGAATTACTGTTCATACAGCCATAAATCCAGCTACTTGTGTCCTGTAAAGTCAATACCATAAAATAGTACATTACCTATGTGTGATTGTACTTATAAATATATTAAAAATAGCAATTCTTTATTCCAAACAATGCAGGAGTTAATGCTGATAAAGTTCTCCAAAATTTCTACATGCTAACTGTTTCAGCGCACCAGATATCAGCAACTAAAAATCCTCTGATAGCAGAGCCTTGGTGCAATTAACTTAATAAAATGAGGAAAACTTCCATCTTCACCTCACTCCTTTTCTATTAAGTGTGTCTGCAGCAATCACTATAGTGACCAAACTCTCATAAGGATGTCAAATACCAAAGTGTAAAAGCAAAGATGATGATAAAAACAGTCTCAGATTTCCTCAATTATTTAAAATAAAAGATATCCACCAAATTTTTTTTTCTTTATTTCACAATGAAGTCAGACTTCTGTGTTAACAGCAAGTGATATCCTCCATTAAAAGTCTGATATCATAACCTTGGAATTACAAGGATGGAAAGATGAAGGATAAAAGGTGGGGGTTTCTTGGAACCGTTTTAAATAACTTTTGTGCCACCTTTTCTAGTTATGAATCAATACGTTTTCTAACAACGAATACAGGGTTGAGCAAACAAACTTTCATAATTTCTCTTACAAAAAATATCTGCCTTACATATGATGTAAAAATCAATTTTATTAGAGTTTAATCTTTACTAACTAAAAGAAACACCTCAAGGTACTATCCTAAGTAGTTGAGGAATACTGTAGCTTTTTAATGTTCTACTGCTCCCCCCCTTGAGCATTTAAGTGTTCTGAAGTGATAGCACCATGATGCAAGTATCTCAGACATTGTTCTGTACCTACTCCTCCTCAAGCAGTAATAGTCCTATCTTTAAGATATTGTAACAAAGGCAAAAGTTACCCTATTAAAGCACAACTAAGATCACAACAAATGTGTAAATACTGAACGTGCTACTGGGAAGGACAATTAGACAAGCACAGAGAATATACAATCTATTTTCACAATGGTGGTATGAACCTCTTCTTTGGTAAGGGGAGGAATGGCAACAGGCAGGCATGATGGAATGGGAAAGCATCTCAATTTTATTGCCACTAATCTAAAATACTTGTGTAATTGTGAAAAGCATATTTATCCATCTCCAGTTTGCCAGGAGACTACATTCATTCCTTTCAAAAAATATTTTTAAAAAATTTAAAAAACATTTTGGCTCAATTTATGTGTCTTGAGCTAAAAATACAGGAAATGCACATTATCACCTCTCCTCTCAATCGAGGAGACAACTGAGAAGGTACCGTTTTCTCATCTAGCTTCCATTCACTTCCACTGCTTAGTGGAAGATCTCTGTAGCCTTTCAGGATCACTTAAATTTTATTATGGGAAAGCAAACCTATAAAAAAAACTTTCCCAAATTAGAAGTATGGCTGAATCCTGGCAGCACTAACAATAACTCCTTCATTCAAAACCATCAATATGGAACTTCACTAAGTTAAAGGAGAAAGTAATCTGGGGCTAACCATCAGACAGTCAAAAATAATTTGAGGTTCAGGTGGCACTGAAGGTTTCAGATCTTGAACACTAACTGTGACAAGCTAAAACAGGAAGTACGTCTGACACAATGTACTAGGCTGTGAATGTAAATGGATGTCAGTAATTACAACTCTTCATTAAACTGTCTTAAAACTGCAGCAAATTAAATTTAAAAAATGCAGCTTTATAAACAAACTCTAGACATTAAAGAAGTCTCACCAACATACTGTTTTCACAGTAAACATGACTGTATGATTTTCTGTGGCTCACAAGAGGAAATGTGAAATATTTTCCATCAGAATCCTTAAAAGAAAAAAAAAAATGCTCTTTAGTAAAAAAAATAGACATAAAAACACAAGAAAAAAATGTTACTTACATTGTAAACTGAATAAGTCCATTTTGAGGCTTTGACTGGAATCCACATGAAAGCTCCTAAAAATAAATGTTTTTATAAGCCACACTGAAGGAACAATTATCCTTATCTCCAAAGTCTTATCTTTTACTTATTGCCAAGGTCTTATCTCTTACCTGTAAATGGCCATAAACTTCATAAGCTTTAATCAACACTCAGGATTGCTACTGCTTAGAATTACATGCAACACTTATCATCAGTTACATGGGAAATGGCAAAACCCTAGGATCCAATTACTACATATTAATTGTAAAATGAAAACCCTATGGATCTTGAAACAAAGCTCTCAAGGCAACAAAACAAGTAAGAAACTGAATGATACTAATGTAATTACAGGGTGACTGATTAAAGCTGAGGCAACATTAGAAACAGCCCCAATCTTTGTTCCTGTCAGCCTTTTAAGAAAACTAATACAGAAACTTGTGTAAAAGCAAGTCAACGATGAAGCGAATAACATGTACAAGAAAATAGTAGCAGTTTAAAGATATGTCTGGAGAAAAAAAGTAAGAATAATGAAGAGATCAGAGATGCAAACAATGCAAATTGTCACGCAAGATTAATATCTTTCTCCTATGTAACTAGAGTAACAAGTTCATCACAGAAATTTAGCTAAGTGTCAAGAGGTCACCACAAACAGGACCATGTAAACATGAAGTCCAATTTAAACATATTCCTCCTTATTGCTAAAAACTGATCCCAAAAAAGGCAAACAATCAGTTCCACAGCCTCTTTGGGCACCTGTTCTAGTGTTTGGCCACTCTCCTGGTGAAGTACTTTTTCCTAATATCTAATTGGAATGTCTTTTGTTGTAACTGGACTCTACTGCCTATTGTGTTATCACTGTGCACCCCTGAGAAAAATCTAGCTTCGCCTTCTCTCCAATCTTTCATTAGGTAGTTGAAGACAGCAACAGGATCCCCCTCAGCATTCTCTTTAGGGTGAAGCAAAACCAGCTCACTCAGCCTCTCTCCCCCATGTCCTATGCCCCAGGAGCTAGCCATTTTGGTGGTCCTGTGCTCCATACTCACTTCAGTATATGTCAATGCCTAAATGCCTTCTTATACCATGGTGGCCAAAACTGGACACCAAAGTTCAAGCTACCTTAGTACTTCTGCAATAGCTTACATTAAGAAAACTCGTGAAATAAAATGGTTTTCATAAAATGGTTCAGCCAACTTCAGCAAAACTAGAAATACAGCTGTGCCCTGCAAAAGTTCTGTTTAGTTCCCAAGACTCCATGCAGTCAAAATTTCTCACCTTTAACTATGCATTCTTAGCAGCTACAAGGAAACCATTAGTGTGCAGTCAATTTTACCCTGCCATGTCATGGAATAAAAAGAAGTCACTGATGAAGCAGATCTGAATATTCAGGATTTCCAGGAGCAGCACAAAACTAACACAATGGCTCTACAACACCAATACTATCCTTCCTGTAAGCATGGGATGTAAGCTTAGATTAGCATTTAGACTGCATTTTGACATCCAACTATTCCTAATTTCTGAGATTGTCTACTGGACACCCTGGTATAAATATGACTCCTGCTCATCCCCCAGAATCTAAGCCATATAAAAGTGTCAGATTTTTGCTCCTACCCCTTTTAACCTATTTAGTGCTGAAAACACACAAAAGCTGATAGTTTACGTCTATAATCCATATATCATTTTAGCAATGTCTGAAGAAGGACAAAATGTATTCTAGAAGTTTGTTAGTGAGAAGATTAACTATGAACAAAGGAGTATCACTGAATCCTGTTCAAAAGAAAACTGCTGCACACCTGTGAGTTCCGTAAAAGCTTCAGGGTTTTCCTCAAATGTCTTTGCAGGGTGTCTCACAAAGTGGTGATGCAGTACAGACATTCTCTTCTTTGGATCCTCAGTTATCTAAAAAAGGAGCAGATTGTCAAGTTTTATTTTACCTATTTGTGTGATTTACAATCATTACATGATCATAGCTAGCAATACAGTTATGGGATGAGAGGCAGGAGATATTGTTAGAAGACATGGTACACTTTCTATTCTAAATTCAATAATCTGAACAAATTAAGTGCCATCAATGGTCAATCACTGCAGTACAGAAAATCTACATGTTATAAAGCATAGCTAAAACTTTTAGTTTTGTATCCTTGCCTACTCTTAACACAAGGAAAACATTCTATTAAACTTTCTTTATAGACACACATGCATTCTTTCTGAAATAACACTTATGTTTAGGACAATTCTCCCATTTATATTTACTAGACTGAGTTAACAAATCCAGCTTACTACATCTCGTCTTAGTATTTCAAACATCCACATAGCCGTAGAGCTACACTGGGATTCAGGTTTTGTGGTTTTTGGGTTGTTTTCCAAAACCACATTTCCAGGACTAATTTTTCTCTATTCAGCTTTTCAAAATTGTGGCCATTACGACTGATTTCTGAAAAGTTTTACCCACTAGCACACTGTCAGTCAACTCCAGAACTGTACCCCTTTTTGTCTCTCTACATCCCATGTTAAAGTCAGTACACCTAAGGAACTAGAGAAGTCTGCCCCAAACAGCCTCAGAAAAACCACCTGGAAGCTTCCCACTTTTATGTCTGGGGCTCTGCTCTTTCGTATTTACAACCTCTTGGACCTTAATTCCAATTCATGTTTATTGCTGCATAACATTTCAGAAAGAGAACAGAGTACAATGGGAGATTTCTCCAACAGTTTTCAAAAAGTAAGATGTGGGATATTTATTTAGAAAAGCAATAAACAATGGTAGCTGGAGGTAAACAAATACACTAGTATTTTACTTGCATTCTGTTTGTGTAAGCGATATTTGCAAAAGAACACCACAAATACGTGCTGGCCAATGTGACAACACATGGGGAAGTTTGAGAAGTAGTATGTCTGAGTTAAACTATCACAGTTTTTCACCCTTTGTATACTAGCCAGAGAAGGTGTCTCAAACATGCTTTAAGAGGTCACATTCAAAGCTGCACAGCTAGCAAAATTTGTTTATCCTAGTGCAAGGTCAACTAAATCTGCTGCATTATGGAAGAAAAGTTCAGTCCACACTCCAGCTATCAATATACTCCAGCAGTCAATAATAAAAACTGAGTTAATACCTAATTATTTCTGACACGTTGGTTGAACAACACAAAGCCACGGGATTTTTCAGTGGCTGGTACAAAACGGCAACAATTTTCTCAGCATGACTTAAAATAATCAAAAAGGAGTTTTCTGTATAATAGGTAATAGAGTGATATTTGTCCTGATTAAGTATTCAGGGATGGAAGAAGAAAGTGTGATGGGGAAATATACAGGAGATCACATATACAAACCTGCCTTGTATTTTCATCTATGAGATCAAAAAAAGCTCTAATGGTAGCCAGGATCAATTCTTTGCACCTAGAAGACAGAATAAGTAAAAGTAAATCTAGAAAGGAGATATCCAGGGCAATAAAAGTGATCAGAAGAGACATTATAATAATATTATGCTGGAGTTAAATTATTGTGTCATGTGATAATAGTAGACAACAGAGGGATGTACAGTCAGTCAATTAACCTTTGTTCCATTAGCTTACCACACTATGGAGAGATGGTCTGTTGAGGCCCAAGCTCTAGGCACAGCTGAGCTCTGTTTGGGGAAGGAAAAAGTTAAGATTTTGTTAGCATTCAACATGGTAAAATTCTAAGCAAGCCTTTCGTCTCCTTATTTAAACATATTTGCACAATTATTAAAAGAATAGCATTTATCTTAAGAGTTTCAGGGACTAGGGTACAATATAATGACTTCTTCAATCAAAAATCTTACCAGTGCTGAAGCACTTGTAAAACAGGACTTGTAAAACAAAATGACCAAATTATCTATGTTAGATAGCAGAGACTAATGGTGAAAAGTCAAATAATTTTGTGGAGGAAACTTACCAAAAATTTCTTCAAAGACTGCTTCTATGACTAATCTTACTATTTTAATAAGTGATCCTGGCACACAAGAATAGATTCATGCCAATGAAAGGTGCTGCTGAAAAATCAAGGGCATCCTCAACAGAACGAAGCATCAGAACATCATGGAGAAAGAACTGGACAGTTTGAAGCTATTCATTTGTATAAGTGTATTGCAGGTATTGTACTTTAGGGACTAATAATATCAAAAACACCTTCCATAAATGGAGCTTATCACCTAGTTGTACAACTTGATTCAAGTAAAATATGAACTATTAATGCATTACAGTTGGGAAGAAAAAAATCAAACCAAACCACAAAAAAACAACCCACAAAACAAAACAACCCCCCCAAAACCTACAAACCAAAAACCAAGAAAACTTGAGAAAGAATTGGTACCACTACACGTGAGATCTCATGCAAAATTCTGGTCACCAACACTCAAGAGAAATGAAAGTAGAGCAGATGGAGAGAACGGTTACTAGGACAAAGGGAATGCAGAGTTAATCTTCTTAGCCTAGCAGAATCAGAGCTGAGACTATTTATAGACAGCTTTTTGTACAACGGACAGGGAGGTAAACACCAAGGGAATGACAACTATTTCGGATAACATTTCAAGTTGATGTCAGAACAAACACATTTAAAAACTGTCTTGTGCTATAAATGGAAGTTGGAAATTACAAATTTTCTCCCTACTGGGGAGTGTTTTCCAGCTTCTTCCATGTAGGGAACAGGTTGATGGTGGGGGGATGGAATGACAAACCTATCTACTTTATGATGTCTCTTGATTAATTTTGGAAGGAGATAGATGCTTGCAAAAGCAGAAGACTGGACTTGATGATCCAGTACATCCTTTCTATTCCTAAATTCTCTGAAAAACAATGAATACAAAAAGAAGGCTCCAAGCCAGAGCTCTCTTTTTTATAATCAAACAAGCAGTCTACTTGTATACTGCACATCTGTCAGTCTCCATATACACATCCCTTGCAAAAATGCAGGAAAATAAAACCTGAGTTCTGGAACTGAAAAGGTGCAAGAAGGTGGTGAGAAGAAACAGTACCAAGTGGTAGATGATTCAAATAAACCCCAACACATACTCTTCCAGTGGACACTAATTTATACTACATCAACCGTTTATGATTTTATAACCGTACACTATCTACTTCATGTTTTCACAGGTAGTATTTTCATATTTAGTTATACTATGCTGTACATATAGACTATAATTAGACATTGATACATGCGTTACATAAAAAGCTATCTAACATAACTCCATGCAAAACCAAAAAAATAGTTTGCTTTTTTACCACAACAGATAAGGCACTGTCATGTTGACTCAATCTTGGTAGAAAAGCCAGTCCTGAACGAACTTGGTAATCTCTGAATCCTCCCGCCACAGAAAGGGTAGTTAAATTTCTTAAATCTTGGGCTTTTAGAATCCAATGATTGTTTACAGCTGTATAAAAATCTATAAAATATATTAAAATCAATCACAATTTCCCCATAAGTCTATTTGATATACAAAAAAAGCTAGAGAAACATTTAACTAACCGTTTCTGTAAGCCCTTCTAGAGGCATTCAAGCTCTGATTATCACTTTTGATTCATATAAGGAAGGAAAATTATTGTTTTAACCCCAAGGAAGCAGCAGTTGGGAAAGACAGATACACCTACACTTTCTGTTATCAGCCTGAGCACATATATTGTTAAAGTAGCAAACCATAGTTTTATCTGAAGGACAGCCACAGTCCAGAAACAGTCAGCAAGGAAGAAGCATTGCATTGCAATCAATTGTAGGAGCAAGAATTAATACAAGCACAGTAAATCAAATTGAGCAGCTAAAGGTAATCCATTCCTCTCAGGAGCCACAGAGAATAGTGAAAATAAATGTCTGTTTCTTTTCCTTCACCAGTTCTCTCAATATCTACGCATAGCGGCACAATTACCACTGAGCACATATTTCATCATTATAGCATAGTAAAATCTAGCTTTTCAAGAAGTGTATAGTACACGCATAATGATTATACTTTATTTTTTTATGCCACAGTTATTTAGGTGAGCAGAACATATGACCTATCTTTTGTGTAAATATATTATATAAAATATATAATTATATCTATATTTAATATTCTCACCCCCTCAACCTTTGGGCATGACAAACATTAAATTTAGCAACTTCTACAGAAATAACACTATTTAGGCAATTCATTTGATAAAGAAAGCCATTACAGAGGTCAAGTTTTACAAAAAAGAAAGAAAAAATGTCATTCACTGAAGAGCTTACAAATTTAGTAACATGCTCTGCAACTTACTAAAATTACAAATTATTGAGAGCTCCAGGCTCTGCACAGAAGCTAAAGTCCACACAACCCATTTTATGACACTTTACTTTCTCTCAGTATCCTAGCGCTCTCAAACAACCACCTGAGTAACAGAGGAATAGATTAATTACAGTAAACAAAATAGCACATTTTGGTGTTGATTTGCAAGAATCTCACCTATTAACACTTGAGAGGATCAATAAAGAAATACAATGTAATTAGATAACCTGCAATACTTACCAGTAAGATATTTGTCTAAAGGCATTACAGGTGCAACATGAGGCGTGGCTTGTGTAATGAGGAGGTTTATAAGTCCAGGCTTAAAATTCTTCAGAGTAAGCAATGCTCTTGCAACGAGACCACCCATGGAATGACCTACTATTGCAACACTGGTTGGTGCAAATTCTCGATCCTTGAGCAAAGAGCAAAGGGTAATTAGACACATCAAAAATATCTTTGACATTGAACTATGGTTATCAGTTGTACATTTTTTTCCCCAAAATTAACTTATGTCCTCCCAAGGATAATATTAAACTTGTATCAACTTGACAAGTTTACAAAATGAATATAAATTTAGTTGCTATCTCAAAAAATGTGCTTAACACGAAGTTTCCAGCTCAAAAGGAAATATTATATAGCCTGTGTGAGCATAAGAAACTTAAGCTTATTTTAATTTCTGAGACTTTTAGGGACATAGGACATCAAAGAACTTTCCCAGAGAAAAGTGGATGTAAGGTGATGCTATACTAATACTTTAATAAGCTAGGGAAAGTGTATGTATCTACTACAAAAAGCATACAATGTGCATGGAAGTTTTTATTTAGAAACACAATATAGGACCTAACCAAAGCTCTGGGATTGTCAGAAGCATTAAAAAAAAAATCTATTAAAGAGCAGCAATTCCCTATTGTACTACTATCACATTCAATTATCTACACACATTATAAAGTCTCCCTCCCTTATTCATCATTCTTCAGATTTCCAGCAGAAAACACAGCCCAGAATTCCATTCCCAAATGCAAGTACATTATTCAGCATATGTTGCTACTTACCCTGTACAACTTAAGAATTACTTTTATGCATTCATGCACAAACTTGGTCTGTTGTTGCAGACTACCACCATACAATGCAACCAACTCCTCATTAAAGTTGACACTGAAGAAATTAAAATGATACTTGAAGTCAACATCTTCTGCTTTTCTAAGTGCAATGGAGCCAAGAGAACGTACTAGGAAAAGAAACCACATCATTTAGAACAGTCTAATAGTCACTGCTTAGCACCATCATTAGCAAACACATATAACCTATTATAACAATATAGCACTATATATATATATAACACAATATAACCTATTAAGAAACAAACATTATCTTAAATCCATTGTTCATCTCAAGTCATTTATAAAAGTAAAAAAAGGTGAAAAAGACATCCAAAAAGAAATAATCTCTCTTCTAATATGCAATCACACTTGCTTTACAAAAACAGATTTGAAGATATAAATAGAGCAAAAGTATCCACCAGTCACTGTCAGAACTGAATTGTAAAATGAGAAAAGAAGTAATTATTTCCTATTTTTGTAAGAATCCCTCTGATAAAAAAATATTAGTAAACATATCATAACAAGAGCTTACAGAAGAATGTGGAAAATAACAAACCTGATTAAGAAGAAAAGAAAGTTTGGAATGAGCTACCAAGAGCTGCATGCTATGCTTATGGCAGTTAACCATGCAACCTAGCTTACTGCTGACTAACGAGATATTTTATATCAAAACCAAATTTGTACAAGATCAAGGATTATGTTCCTCCACCTGAGGACTGCTTTTGTCATCTCATTTGCATCTCCTTACCGCCACCAGGACAAGAAGGCAAAACGAGCATTCTTGACTTCAACTCTAGAGGCATTGCTACTGCTAGGCTTTCCTAAAATTCCTTTGAAGAGCATCAACTCTAGGACAATATTCCCAAATACCACCAAGATACGTATGGGGGATTGGAAAACCAAACCCTAAAGGACACTTTTCTGCCTAAAAGCTCGAGGGAGAAAAAAGTTCTGTTTACAAGGTCTTGCTGCTGACCTGTCTTCTCTGTCTAACCCCAGCTGCTATTTATTACAGCCTTCTGAGTGCAGAATTGTCCCTGAGTTTCCATGGAGACATGGCAGGATGGGAACAGTAACGGCTGCAAATAAAAAAGCATGGTAGAGAAAGAAGAAAATAAAAGAGAAAGTCCCAGAAGTAAGTATATAAAATAACTAATGATCACCAGAAAGGTCTGCCCAAATCCGGCACACAGAAGCAAGATTCTTCTAGAGTGCAACAGTTTCGGAGATCTGCAGCCTGCAAAATCCTCCTTCTTGGAGAAGTTTGCTATAGAAATTAATGTATCAAACAAATTTCAGCAAAGCTTATGCAATGGGAAAATAATATTCATGAAATACTTTATATGTTCAAACACCCAAACAGATATTATCAGAATGATGAAAATTATAAATCTAATCTGTAGTCAGTCATTTCACCAATTCTATCCAAAGCTAATAAGCAATAAAAACACCTTCAAAATGGTTTGAATAGACCTAAAAAGTATGTAAAAGATCAAGTGTCTTATCACAACTTTATATCTTGTAGGTCATGATAAAAGCAACAAGAATATTGCCAAAGATCACAAGGCAAGTATGTGACAGATTCCTAAATAGAACGCAGGACCTCAGTTCTCCCAATCTCTGGTTCATTCCCAACAATTAAACCAGACCACCATCTTTTACTCAAAGTCTGAATTTTGTACATTTTAAAAGGTTCGTTTTAGTGCCCATGGAAGATGATGAATTAACATGTTTCAAAAGTCCCTGTAACACATTAAAACCTCCTGAAAGGAGGTTGTAGCAAGGTAGGTGTCAGTCTCTTCTTCCAAGTAAGAAGTGATAGGACGAGAGGAAACAGCTTCAAGTTGCACCAGGGAAAGTTTACATTAGATATTAGGAAAAATTTCTTCACCAGAAGGGTTGTCAGGCATTGGAACATGCTGTGGTAGAGTCACCAGCCCTGGAGGTATTAAAGAGAAGTGTAGATGTGGTGCTTAGGGACATGGTTTGGTGGTGGATTTGGTAGTGCTAGGTTAACAGTTGGACTCAATTATCTTGAAGGTCCTTTCCAACCTAAATGATTCTATGAAAATAACAAGCCCAGCAAAGGCAGCAGCAGCACTTCTGTCTTCATCGCTCAGCAAATATGAACATATTTTAAGCAAGTATGAAAATAACAATAGCAACATCTTCTCTGCTCATCTATGTATCAGAATGAAAGTGTGTTATCCACAATAAAGTCTGAATGAAATATGAATTTTCATAAATTCCATAATAAAACAAGAACTATTCTGAGCCACTGATTAAGGCAGAACAATTTATTTTAACAAAGATTTTGAAAAATGCACATATGACTTCTTGGCAGTCTTCCTAAATTGATTTCTCAAAGAATAAATATTTAAATAGTTACTGATCTTAAGTAGCACATTATATCCACAGCATGTAGTACTTCTACTCACCTAGTTTAAGTTTTTCTTCAGATACTTCCTTTTGACTACTAACATGCCCTGGAAATACCATTATTTCCTGCATAGTGATGTACTGCCGTGTTTTTAGAGACAGCAGTAATTCACAGATTTGCAATACTTTATGTACAATTACAAAAGTCCATATGGCATCTCTCATAATCATTATGTTCATAATCTTCTTTGGATGCTATTCTGCCTGCAAGTCTGTATGGGTTTTCTGAAAGTACAAGTTGGTAAAATATTTTACTTTGTTATAAGCTAAGTGAGTATGTTCTCAAAGAAAATAACTTTGTAAAGGTATTCTGAAATCAGATAATTTAATCATTAAGTTTAGTGCAAATATAAGGAAAAATTATCACAATAAGACATCAGGGTTTAGATTGTAGTGGTTTTCCCCATACATACATATCAATTTTGCTAGCATCCTAAGAGTGTTACTAGCTGTTTCAAAGAATATTTTAGAGAACAAAAATAACGGTCCTGACAACATAGCCTGGAAGGAATAGCAGATACTTGAATAAACACTTAAGCACAATACTTCATGTTCATCAAACTACTAACTTTGGTATTTACAATGAAAAATAAAAATACTTTAAAACTATTACTTCTTTTCATTTGGAGCCTAGGAACGTAAGAGGGAATAACCTGGAAAACAAAAGGAAGCTATGTGTAAAGTGGGAAGATGGTGCTAAGGAAGAACACCACTACATAAAGAAGTGTGAAATAATGAAACTAAAGGGCAAGCCACAAGATGATGCTTATTTATATAGCACATAATTACTTCACATCACTGATGGCAGCTTGTTCAGTTTCTTCTATTCAAATTCAGGTCTTGTTTTATTTGGCATAACTGCATTATATGTTACTCAAATCAAAACCAACTAGAAGTTTGTAATCAAAAATACAGCAAGGGTGCAGTGCTGCCATAGCATGGCATAAATTGTACCATTTCTGGCTTTCAGAAGTTACAATCTCACTCCAGGAAACTATTATCGCTCAACTGTTCAACTGATTTCAAACAAAAATAAGGTATTTTGACTGCTTGAATTAACCATGGACTAACAAGGACATCTAGATCATAAGACGATCAATCATTATGACTCTTCTTGATATTATTTCAAACAGAAAACTTCTTGCCACTAACTAATGCATAAATATGACAGCTCTTTGTAACATACCTATAACTTAGCTAAACACTTACCTTGTTTGTAGCTGCCAGCATTCCCAGGAAGAAAGAGAACTGGAATTCCTGTCAATAGGAGATTTTTGTTTTCTTCAGCATAGTTCCCTTCCCCATAGAGATAGAGCTCATATGCTGGGTATCGTCTGGCTGTTTTCTTAGGTAATTTTATTTTCTGTTGCAAAGTTAAAAAGAAACCAAATACCTTGTTTATATTATTGCTAACAAGAAAATATAGTGGCTATCCAGTAATTTAAATGATCTGGCTTATGTGTTATGTATTGTTTTAAATTACAGTCTGAAGAATACAGAATGAAACACTGGGTTTTGCTTTAAAAAAATAATTTAAATTTAAAATAAAGTATTTTGTTTAAGTAGGTATTACTGTGCATAATGAGTGGCTGCAGTTACTTACTTGGAACAGTTATTAACTTTAACTGGCTTTGAAACAAACTGCAAATGAATGCAATTATGTATCTTTTAAAGTTGTATATTTGTAAAGTAAATCTAGCTGTATACTACAGGGGAGAAAAGGGGTAAGGGGGAAAAAAAAAAAAAAAAAAAAAAAAGGCATGTCAAAACCCAACCACTTCTCCCAGAACATGAGAATTTGAGACCAGCAACTGGGGCACGTGAGTGATCCTAATTATTCCTAATGCACCTGTATGGTTCTGGAATCCTTTCCAATCCATGTAACTCAGAACAAGGATGTGCTACTGCACCTGATACCAAAGCTACATCTGGAGAACAGGGTTATGCAGGTGACTGTCGGATGACAACTATTATGTCAGGGTAAATTACAGATGTGGTATGAATTCTCTTAGGTGATTTTTACAGAGGTGTAACCTGCAATGTGAATTTAAACAATAGTAGTAACCACCTTAATATAGCTCGTCAGAAAAAATAAACCCATAATACTTTGGGGCCTTGTTCTATTGTTGTTTTCAGAGTTGGTTTTGTGGCCTAGTGACAAACAACCTGGGTTTGTAACAACTCGGGATCCAATTTACACAGTCAATTGTCATCTTAAAGAAGGCCATATTTCTTGTATTAAAACAAAGAAGCAAACAACTAACCACCTAAGCCATCACATAACTTATTCACAGGATTACAGATTCCTAAAGAGAAAAGAACAAAAACTCTTGGAACTTGAGGACTAGATGATGATTAAGTCTTAGATCAGTAAGTTATGACTCTTAGAGCCATATGACACTGCTTTAAACCCAATAAGTAGTAAGCAAGAAAACATTTAATTAACTCCTACATGGAGGTTGGTTGGTTTATAATTTTGAGTTTCTAAGGTACAGATTTTTTCAATTTCTATGAATGCGAATACACTTGTTCTGGCATTTGATTACTTATGTTGCGACAATTCAGAAACAAATAAGATAATTAAAACATAAATTTCTTAAGGTGTAATTTATATTTTAAGGAAACACTTTATTTTACAGAATAAAGTCAAAACTAAACTCAGTTTTGCATCAGAAATCTTCTCTAAAGTCTCCCTTAATTGCTTTCTTGAAACAAGCATCTCTATTTCAGACGTTTCAGTTGTTTCTTTCAACTGCATCTAGAGTAAAGGCAATTTAGCTTTAACTCCCTGTCCACACACACTCTTTTCCTTCCCCTGTTCTTCCCTGTCTCTCCTCAGCTAAAGAGTATTTCCTTTCCCCCTTAGCCTTCAAATTGTTGGCCATATTGGTTATTTGCAACCTCTTCTTATGATGTTTGATACATATATTTAAAATTTATATTTGATAAAATTATATATTTATATATATTATAATATTGTTTATTATTAAAAAATACACAGAGAGAGAGCGTGTTTAACTCCTTCACTGTGAACAAAAAAGTTTAAGCTTTGTTCAGGGCTTATGTCTTCAGATCATACTTTCAATGTGCTTTCCCATTTCTCCATCATCTCACCTTTCTAACTTCACTGACCATACCGTCCCTTTCTTATTCCTTTCTACTGCTCCTTTTTCAAAGGCTTTCAAAATTATGTGAACAAAAACTTAATCAGTTTCTTTTACTAAACTGAGAGTGCCATCAAGATATTTTTATATGACTTCCTGACGGATCAAATCAACAGTTCTTCCACAGTATCTTCCTAGTTCATTGTCTTTTCAAAAACTTTTACAGAACATAAAATTAACAAGCTGCCCTTCTTTGGGTCAATGTCAAAAACAAAACACTACACAATCCATGATAATTGTACTACCAAAATATTGGGGGGTTTCGGTAAATCACCATGCTCAAATATTTTAACAAAATGGCAACATGTAACTCTAAAGGAAAACAGACGTTCAAGTTCCATGACAGCGGTTTTAAATTCTGAATTCCCAAGACATTGGTTATATAATTGGTTGTAATGAACTACAGAAACTTTTTACAATGTCAGCGCAGGCTTCATTTTTCACCCTGGTTCCCAAAGAAGTTAGGCTTATGTGAAAACGTCCTCATTTCTAACTTCCAAATGTCTCACCAAGCTTAGCTGAGCAGGACAAGGGTAGGATAAATTCAAATACTACAATTCTACAACTCATGCAAACAGATGGTTAAGTACAAAAAAAAGAAAAAAAAATCCAAACCAATTCCATTACTTAGTATTAGCTTGACTGTGAGCTAACCTCCACTGTTAGGCACAAAAGAAATGAAACTTCTTATGTTTAATTGCTCAAATATTTATTTGTTTTGCAATGTGATACCCAATCTGGAAGGGAGGACAGGTACTATTCAGCTAAAATTTCTACCTTGTGGTTTCCTACCAATGCCAGCATTAGAAATGAAACAAACAACCCCTCCAACAACAAGGAGGTACTCGTATAATGCCTTTGCAAACCCAGACAAATTATTAATTTCTCCCTCCCTTCCCAGAAGTACTGTTTTCCACACAGTAAAAGTGATTATTCAGGGAAAATTCCGAGAGGCAATACAGCCAGCTGCAATGTGCATCTCCTGCATGGAATTACTGCTTACCCTTAAGCCTCGCATCTCTTAACAGCACAACACTTATCTAAAGATGCTTAGAATTTAAGCCCTGACACAATGAGTAAACACAAAAGATGTGTGGTGGCAGATGAGAATTTCAGACAACCACCAATAACATCACACACGTTCTCTTTTGTAGGCTAACACGACTACGTCAAAGTTAGCAAATGAAGGTTAATAGATCTAAAAATTAACTTTCTGCTTCATTACCAATTTAGGTACTAAGGTTTTGCTTTAAGATCTTCTTTACTATGCAAGACAGCTTGCAACCTACTTCAGAATAGAATATTATTTAGAATACTTTATATTTTTTCCAACATAGGTTATATCCTAGATAATGCTAAATGAATGTTTAGGAGCCAACAAATTACGCTTTGGGATGCTTCTAATAGGACAGAAAGCCCTGTAGTAAGAACTACTATTAAAAAGAGAAATTGTTTTCTAACATCTGCATGCAGCATTAGCATTGAACCTACATATACTCACATATTTACATCCTCCCACTATTAAGCCATAATGCCATGTCTGGAAAACAACAGTTCCATCAGCAGTCCTCTCTCTCAAACTGATCCAAGATTTTCAAAGAGGTTTCTAAAAGGTTTCGTTAGCAAAGCGAGAGGGACTTCAGACAGATTTACACGTTCTTCCGTACATTGTGGGGCATGCCACCCACGAAGTTGTCACCGAGAAGGCTTTGCACTACTGTTCACTAGCTTGAGAAATACACTCATATTTGAATCTGTTATTCACTTTTTGGATACATTAGTTGCTTCACACACTGTAAATTCACAAAAAGGACCAAGAAGTACAAGACTTAACCTCCCGGGCACTAACAGTGCTGTGAGCGGAGGACCTGGCCCAGCCCCTCTTCCTTTGCAAAAGCACGGATGAGCTTTTGACCGGTTTTACCAGGACCACAAGTAACTACGGGCATTTATTTTCAGGTTAGAAAACTGGACGCTTTTCTATTAGTTTTCTTTTGTACAGGTGGCGGTACGAAACACCTCGCTGTTTTACAGGTAGGCAACTCTTCCGTTCCGTAGCCATCCAAGGTGCACCATTACACGGTGCAGCGGAAGCAGCGCATCCAGCCAAACGCACCGACCGACCTCTCAAAGAAGCCCAAGCTGGTTTTGCCCCCCGTCTAGCCTGCCACTCCGCGGAGGCCGCCTCAGGAAGCGGCGAGTCAGCCAACCCAAAAGTTACGGGAGCGGCCAGGAGTCGCCTGCGCGGCGGTTCTCCCGCGGCGGAGGGCGTTCGGGGCTGCTCCTCCTCTCCCTCTCGCAGGGAAGAGGAGAGAAGCCGCCGGGAGGGCTGCGCCTCAGACAAGCGGCCGCCGGCCGCCGCGATGCGGGCGGCGACGCCCCAACGGCCGCCGGGCG